CCAACCATGAACTTCGAGATCACGACCTGAGCCGAAGTCAGACGCTTAACCGCCTGAGCCCCCCAAGCGCTCCTGGTTCCATCTTTTTAATTGTGCGGCAAAGCCATCGCCTGCCTGGCCAGCAGAGCGACCGCCTAAAGACAGTTGTTTTGCTTTCGCAAAACAGAGTCTTTTCGGATTGACAGGAAAGAGCACGTCCTCTAATCTCTGCACATGCTTGCCAAGCCCCCAGGGGTAAAGAAGGCTGCATTTTGCAGCTACCAAAGATGCCGTCCCCAGAAAGTGTGGCTGTGCCCAAAGTCCTGCTAGGGAACAGCTCGGTGCCCACCTGCATGGGTGGAGGTGAACCGAAGTGTGTGTGTGTGTGTGTGTGTGTGTGTGTTGGTTGGGACAGGGACAGAGGGGCTCAAGTTCCCAACATTGATGATTCATGCTGGACAGTCTATTAGATGACTCCTGACACCCTTGGTCAAAAATCAACTCCGTCACCCTCCTGTTGGTGACGGACAGATCCGTGTGATCTGCTGCTGTCGCCCCCGCTGGCCAGGCTCCCTAGGAGAGCCATCTCAAGCCTGGCCAGGGGGTGGGGGAGGGGTGGTCCTTAAAGCGTTTCCCTGCCCTATAGGCTGCCGCTCAGTTCATTACCGTGCCCCTCATTCATCGGCCCTGCCCTGCTGCTGGGTGGGACTCCACCTGTCCTCTGCCCCCCTTTTGTCCACACCCAGCTGTCTGGCCACAGTGCCGGCACACAGGTCAAGGGAGCAGGGGTCTCCAAGTAGAACTCGTGTTGCGTTTAGTAAGAATCACTCCCCCTCATATGTGCCTATGTAAATATGTAATATGAATGTAGACAAGGACAGAGAAGGCTCCCTGCTCCCTGTTCTGGCATTTGAGGCCAATCCCAAACGTCATCCAGGGCCAAGTGGAGATTCACGGTTTCAGAAACCTACACTGGTCTTCTGGGGTCTGCCCTTTGGGTTGGGGAGAGACCCCAAAGCTGCACCGTGCCTCACCGTGGATCTGGAAGGCGCGACACAGCATTGGGTGACACTGGAGGCTGAGAAAAAGATGAGGAGGTGCCAGGGAGAAGCGCCAAAGAGAATGCTCTCAGTCTCAGATGTGCACTGACGTGAGTCAGCCTAACCAACCCCTACTCACCCTGCAAAGCCCAGTTCAGAGCATCCTCCTTAGAGCAGATTCCCCTGCCCCCACCCGCCTTGCCTCTCTCACAGACCCCTGGCACGTTTCTCTGTTCCTAGGACAGAAATGGTCATGGCCTCCCCGGCCTGTGATACACACTAATCACCAAAAAGTACTTGAGCTTTACTAGCTTGCTAATGTAGTGACCCAAGTCCTAAGTTCAGCCTCAGATTATCCCCCAGTGATGCTTGTGGACCCCCAAAGGCTACCACAAAGGTTCTCAGCAAGGCCTCTGTGGTTGAACGTTGGTCTCGGTCTTCACCTGGAGCTATGATACCCCAAGTCGTCTTGAGGAAGGCACCCCTCTTCTGCCCAGCGGATGCCCTTGTGAAAATTCATTCATTCTGGGTCCCTCTGCTTCACTGGGCTTCTCTGGCCGGGGGAGGAGCAGAGAAAAATCTCTCCTTCCATTCTATGAGAAGCTGAGCCATAAGACACTCTGTGTGCACCCCAAGTCTGTAGAGAGCCCTTTCACCTTCTGTTGTGCCCCCCAACTCTCCATAGAGCCGGCCTCCCGGATCAGGTGGGGGAAGATTGCCATTCATTTCCTCTCCATGCTCTTGCTTTTCTCTTCAGTGTCCTGGGGCCCAAGCATACCCTTCCTCCTTCTTCTGGTTAAAAAACAAAACAATGGGGCGCCTGGGTGGCGCAGTCGGTTAAGCGTCCGACTTCAGCCAGGTCACGGTCTCACGGTCCGGGAGTTCGAGCCCCGCGTCGGGCTCTGGGCTGATGGCTCAGAGCCTGGAGCCTGTTTCCGATTCTGTGTCTCCCTCTCTCTCTGCCCCTCCCCCGTTCATGCTCTGTCTCTCTCTGTCCCAAAAATAAATAAACGTTGAAAAAAAAATTTTTTTTTAAAAAAAACAAAACAAAACAAAAACACGCAAAAAAAACCCCACAAAAGCAACCAGGCCTGTGAGCCAAGGCGAATCAATGACCTGAGCAGGGGAGGTAATAGGCTTTTTTCACACATGTCTGCTCAGACTGAACGGGGATACCAGACACACCCCTTTGCACGAGTGGAAAGGACCCTAGTGTAACACTTGTCACATGTTTGTGATCGAGTCATCACAGCCGGACTCCACACGCTTTGAGAGCAGGGCCCACCCACAGACGGATCTTTATGTTTACACCCTCGACCTGGCACTCAGTAAGTGACCGTCACAATAACTAGTAATTATCGGGTGCTCATTGGGGATGGACCAGTGCAGGCTTGGACTTGTCCAATAAGCGTCCAAATTTCTAACTAAAAATTGTTTGCATTAAAAGCTAAGAGGAGGGGCGCCTGGGTGGCTCAGTCGGTTAAATGTCTGACTTGGGCTCAGGTCATGATCTCTCAGTCCGTGAGTTCGGGCCCCGAGTCGGCTCTGTGCCGACAGCTCGGGGCCTGGAGCCTGCTTCGGATTCTGGGTCTCCCTCTCTCTCTGCTGCTCCCCTGCTCACGTTCTGTCTCTCAAAAATGAATAAATGTTAAAAAAATTAAAAAAAAAAAAAAAAAAGCTAAGAGGAGAGCCTGGCTGGCTCAGTTGGTAGAACATGTGACTCTCGATATTGGGGTCATGAGTCTGAGCCCCACGTTGTGTGCAGAGATTAAATAAATAAATAAATAAAAGCCAAGAAAGATGAGCAATTAACTGTTAACTTCTTTCTCGAGTCCCCATATTAATCACCAAACCTCCTGCAAGACCCAAACAGGGACACAAAGTTTCAGCAAACGACACGAAGATTAGGGGGTGGTGGGATAGAGTGCAGTGAGCAATCCTCAGTAGGGTTCCAAGTACATTTCTTCATTTGATAACGCTCCCTAAAGAAGCTGACCAATTATCTGTTTCGACTCGGAGCCCTGAGGATTGGGCATGAAATATATAGAAACATTTATTCCACGATAGAGAATTTGTAGGGTGGATCAGTGGGCACAGGATCTAAGGATTAGTCATTTCTCCCCTCAGCAGGATGATAGAATGTATGGAGTTTTACTCTATATTTGATCAAAATATCTGCTAGGCTTCCCTAATGACATTCTTTAAAAAAAAATTTTTTAATGTTTATTTATACTTGAGAGAGCGAGAAAGAGAGAAAGAATGAGCAGGGGAGGGGCAGAGAGAGAGAGAGGGAGACACAGACTCTGAAGCAGGCTCCAGGCTCTGAGCGGTCAGCACACAGAGCCCAACACGGGACTCGAACTCACGAACCACGAGATCATGACCTGAGCTGAAGTCGGACACTCAACTGACTGAGCCACCCAGACGCCCCCATACTGACATTCTTGACTTGGTTTTCTATTTTGATGATGGTCATAGCAGAGACTTCACTTACCATTATCACCATGAATAAGAAGAAAGTAACTTCTATGATCTTCTGGAGCCGTGAAATCTCACGGTTAGAAGTTTACGATAATTCAGTCCAACTACCCCTCTGATGTCTCCGTTGCCCCAGTCCTATGATGCAAACGGTCACGTCCAACTCACCAGGGAGCGTATTATAGAACAGAGATTCCTGGGACGTCCTTCTGGAGACTCGGATTCACTCTGTCTGGGAAAAGTCTCAGGAAAATGAGTTTTTAACAACATCCCAGGCCTGAGAATCATTGCAATTGATAGCATCTCCTGACAGAAGTTTCTCGAGGCTACGATTAAACGCCTCGGATGATGCTTAAAATAGTCCAAAACCATTTCAGATTCTGAGGTTTTTGTTGAGCCAAATTCTTTCCCTGGGCCTTCTACCAATTGATACGTTCTTTGGAAATAAATTGAACTAGCGAATCTTTTTCCACCTAACATCTTCAAACACTAAAGATAAGAAGGAATGACTCCCTAGAGCCGACCTCCTCCAGATTATAACACACTATAACTACAATCTTCTGGATTGTAGACCTCCAGACGGCCGGACCGGGTACCATTGACCATTCACCACAGCACAGTTCGAAGACACAACAATTGGTATCCATTCAGGTATTCAACTAATATTTATAAACCACCTACTACGTGCCAGGCATTCTCCTAAGCCCGAGGGTACAGCCACAAACCAAAGTCCCTTATCTCATGAAGCTTGCCTTCTAGTCAAGGAGACAGACAAAAGGCAAATAAAGAAACAGATATAGGTAAGAGGGGATAAAGGTGCTGAGGAGTAAAGTTAGGCAAGGTAAGGAGGTAAGGTAAAGAGTAGAGGGTGTGGGGTGCCTGGGTGGCTCAGTCGGTTGAGTGCCTGACGCTTGATCTCAGCCTAGGTCTTGATCTCAGGGTTGTGAGTTCAAGCCCCACGTTGGGCCCCGTGCCGGGTGTGGAGCCTACTTTAAAAATGTGTTAATTTGAAATCCAAACAGATCTTTATTTTGGCCCAGAGGTACAAAATGCACCAGATGAATATTCATGAACACAAGTCATTATTCTTGTCTTCAAGGGAGCCGCTAGTGGAGAGAATAATCTGTGTTCCAGCCAATAGAGGGCAGCTGAGTGCAAGACATATTTCTGTGAGCTGAGCCGAGTAAGGCATCTCACCGGGCAACAGGGCCACACCCCAGTCATCGTCAAGTGAGTAAATTAGCCCCACACCCCAGTCATCGTCAAGTGAGTAAATCAGCCCCCAGCCAGGAGAAATTTCTTAATATTTTTTATTATTAAACCGTCTCCAGGCTACAAAAGTACTTCTACGTTGAGAATTTTCTTTCCTTACTTGCACAGAACCAGTAGTCCAGCCTAACAAGAGGGCAGAGTTCAATTCTGGAACCCCCCAAAAAATTTTTTTCCCAGGACTTCTCTGAGAGGTTGATTTAGCGAGCTACTCATACAGAAATAAGAATTCAGTTACTCGTCACAGCCTAAAGATATTTTATTTGGAATGTTTGCATGACTACCCCCTCCATTAACAAGACCCCGAGTCACGAAGGAGTCAGTTGCTTTGACACAATGTAGGTCCTGGCATGGCAGTCGTTGAGAGAAAGGGGACTCGGAAAAATGGCTGGATCTTTGGACCGAGGGAGCAGGGAGGAATAATAAATTATAATCTTATTATCCCCAACCTACAGCCGCGACCCCGTGGTCAAAGTAGCCTACAATTCAGAGTAGATATCTAGTCGTATCTGACTCAGCATTAACAACGTTTCGGGAAGACTCAGGACCCACAAAATCGCCACTTAGAAACGTGTTCCCCATCATGTCGAACGAGCATAGGAGAGACTCAAAGCATATTTTTTACCTCAAGGCGGAAGGTGGGCATCTGATGAACATCTTCCGAACTGACGTGTCCTTTTCCTGGAGTAGACTGAGTTAACAGCTCAGTGGTTTAGTTTCTGCAATTATCTCCCAGACCATTTATTGTTGCCCCGCTGGCCTTACTTGACTGCAGGTGCTCGATGGGAAAGAACACACATCCAACGTGGAAACACGATAATAATTTTACGACCACTTATGGAGCACTTCCTGTGTACTGTGATCCATATTATTCACACATTATACTATTTAGCCCCCCCACCATCAAACAATGATACAGACATTCACACCGGTTTTAAAATAATAGAGGTTCAGAAAGTTCCGGTACGTGGGTAAGTAGCAGAGCTGGGGCTTCAGGCTCTCCGTAAAAAGCTATAAACCCTAGACTTAAATCACTACCTGATTCTTAGTTGATGGAATTTTCAGGGCACACGTTTTTTGAGATGCGTGGCTTCTGTGGAAAAGGAAGGGCCTTATCGCCCAGACAGAATCATGGCTCAGAGCCAAGGAGGTTAAGACCCAACGGAGTGGCCCAGCCCCCTGGAGAAGACGAGAAAGGATAAATGAACTTTCATTTTCTTTGTCATGCTTTTATCCATCTACAAGGGGCACCCATTACAAAAATCATTCTTCCCAAGAGAAGATGGCACTCTGCGCAACGGTGGGCTATTTTATCTCATTGTTTTCCTTTCCTTTCTGAACATTAAACGGCCAAGTTTGATCTGCATTTGTTCAAACGACCTTCCGTTTCTCAGACGGAACAGGAAAATGTCATCAAAGGCCACTGGTGTATGTGAGCACTCCGTGAGGCCTGAAACAGCTTCAGTGGTCCCCTGTCTTCTCTTCCCAATGCCCTGCATCCGTAGTCTGTTGTTGATCCACGCTTTGAGCCGGCTATTTTGGACAAGCCACACAGACAGAAGCTTCTTTGGCCCCCGGGGGGAACTGGGAAAGGCACCCGAGCTAGCTCAGGGGCGCCCCCTCTGGGGGACAGGAGAAGGACGGGCTGACGGTCCCCGCTTCCTTGAAAGGAATCATTAGTAACCAGTGCAGAATCTCTTCCCCACGGGGCACAAAGCCCTTTTCACTTCAGCGGCCAGCAAACACTGACTGCGCTCCTGTTCAGAACTTTGTTAAAAGACAGCAGACAGGTTACCTCTTAGAGCAATAGGATCGACACCTTACCCCTCTCCCCCACCACCACCCCCGGGGGAGTTTATGGAACTCCGCACTTCAACCAATACTCTTACACCCATCATCATCTCGTTGAATTTAAATAAATGAACCAGTTGAGCAAAAGCAAAATAATTCCGTCCTCAAAAATAACTGTGAATGAGCCCGTGGTTTCTGTTCCTCAGGGCTTTGCACTGTTCATTACACCCATGTAATTAGTCTCACCTCTGCTACCAGCCTCTTGGGGGCCTCGACGCCTCCTTGGGGAGCAAGGAAACCTGAAAGAAAATCCGCGCGGAGAAGCGAGCGGGGCTTAGGGTCACTGGCATTGATGCGATGCAGATTCCTTGCGGGTCCACGTGTTCATCTGGGTCACCCGGTTTGGGTTGAGCGCTCTTGGGGGGTCTGTCCTCAGCAGGTGCCGGCCACGGGGCAGGACACAGAACTTGCCTTCGTTCTCGGAAAGCAAAACCTCGTGACACGGCATAGGGAGAGACATACTGCCGGGGCTTTGGCAAAGAGAGGGGTGTGCTGCCTGCCGCCCCGCAGAGCTCTGCCAGGGTGCCAAAGAGCATGTCCCCACAGGGCCCCCGGGGGCTCCAACTGCCTCCTCACCCAGCACCCTTGCTCACGCAGGGTCTCCGGCCTCTGGCCTCTTGGGCCCCTCCCTCCTGCTCTCTTTACACCTTGTCCTTTCCTGTCCAGGGTCTTGCACTATTCTCCTGCCTTCTCCAGCCCTGCCTCCTCCCACCCACTCATTCGCTCATATTTACTGAGCAGCCACCGTGTTATCAGACAGTGTCGTAGGTGTCACAGTCATGGCAGGGAACAAGACAGAGCCCACGCCCTTCTGGGCTGTCCATTCAAGCCAGAGAGAGAGAGAGAGACACGGCAAACAGATGCACATTCAACAGACATACCCTGGTTACCTCGTGGTGCTGCGAAGAGAGAGAAAACAGAAACGGGTAGGATGAGATGCGAAGGGGAGACTTGTGACCCAGGCAGCGGTTCTCAGTCAGAGGAGAGTCCACCTCCCTCGGGACGTTTTACGACGCCTGGAAACACTCTCTACTGCTACCACTTTGAAGGTGCTGCTGGTAGCAGGTGGGGAGAGGCCAGGGAGGCTGGGAATCCTACAGTCCACGGGAAAGCCCCACAGAGCAGGGAATGATCTGGCCCCGCGTGTCACTAGTCCTGACCTCGAGACACCCTTGAGACAGGGCCTCGTTCGGATTCTAAAGACACAGGAGCAGCATCTGTGACAGGGGGCGGACCATCCAAGGAAGAGTCTGCCCCCAGACCTGAGATCCGCCCTTCCGTGGGGAGGCCAGGGCCGCGGTCCAGCGACGGGCAGAGAAGGTCAAAGGTAAAGCCGAAGCGTGACCCTGAGTGTCCATCACCATCTTCAGCAGCGAAGGCCTCTCCTTACAAGGGCAGCAGCTGGGGATCGCAAACACCATTCGTATTCCTGATGCTTCCACGATTTTCATTTTGACCACTGTTTGAACATAAAAGTTGCTGCTAAAGATTTGCCCAAAATCAAATACAAGGTACTGTACCCAGGGGCGCCTGGGTGGCTCAGTCGGTTAAGGGGCTGGCTCTTGATTTTGGCTCAGGTCGTAATCTCATGATTCGGAGCCTGCTTGGGATTTTCTCTCCCTCTCCCTCTCCCTGTCCCTCTCCCTCTCCCTCTCTCATTGTCTCTCTCAAAATAAATAAATATATCTATATCTATATCTACATCTATATCTAGACTGTCCCCAAAGAGTACCTCGGATGTCTACACTTGGATTTGACTCCAGTTCTGCCATTTATTAACTTCTACACGGTTACAGCAAGGATTCAGTGAGGTGATGTATGCAACCGTATGGTAGAACTCCTGGCATCCAGTCGTCTCTGTCTGGTGGCTGTGAAGGTGGCAAGGATGAGAGAAAGAAAATACACACATTAGTTAGTTCGTTAGTTAGTTAGTTAGCTAGTTAAGCAGCTCCTAATCAGGTGTTTTCTGGGCTCTCAGCCCCATATTAGTACTGTTAAAAAAAAAAAGGGTAAGGGAGAAGATATGCGGTCTCTGACTTCCAGGAACTTAAAACGTCTCCCCCAAAGAACACACACATCTTTCTAGGCATCGAGGGAAGACAAAACTTTCACCTTTGCCCCTGCCCCACCTCAATTTCACCACCACCACCCCCGCTTGGCCTCAAAACTGTTAGATAGAAAAGCCCCTGAAGACTGAGGCTAAAACACCCATTCTATACGTGAGGAAACTGAGGCCCAGGGAGCCTCAGCCATCTGGTGCTGCCAGATGGAGTGGGGCCGGACTGTTGCCGTCGGGCGCGGTGGGGAGAGGAGCTCACAGGGAGAGGGCTGATTACGGGACGGCTTCTAGAAGGGGGGCAAGTTAGAGGTGAAGGGGTCCGAGCGTATCCCCGTCAAGGGCTCCGAGAGATCCCCCGTGTGTGGTAGGCCATCTGAGACTTTCTTATTTCCGTGCCTGCGTATTTCTCTATTCTTTTCTTCTCCCACCAAAATACACGCTCTCTGAGCCCAAGCTCTTTGGGTATCTGGTTTGTCTCCATAGCTGCCCTCCCTAACCCCCCCAGTGGAACAGTCGGTAAACTCGGGAGGAGAATTCACCACCTCTGCACATGGCCAAATGCTCGGTCGGAAGCTCAGAGGGCGTGATGAAAACCAAACTTCTGTCTCTTAGCCTTTCTCAGGCAGAAACCCCCACTACAGTTAAAACACAAAGACAGTCAAACCCAGCAGCCACCGATTTTTATTATTGCCTTTGTCAGCAGCAACAATAGTTTTTAAAGGGTAGAGAAGTCAACAGCGGACCAGCATCGTGTATGTAGTACTGGATTCTTTCCGACATATTAGCAAACTCTTTTTTAATCGTGGCTTTTTTTTAATCAGGCTATTTTTAATCGCCTTCTTAGTTGGGCCTCTTGTCTCTTCCCAAAGGGTTGGGCTGAACCAGGTAGAATCCGTGCTGGAGGGGACGGCAGTGGGGTGGCAAGGTCTTGGGCTCAAATATCACCGGAATGATGATGTGCGCTCAGGCGACCTGAAGGTGCAGCCAGGATAGAGCCAACTTTGCTACGAGAGAACCCAAGTTTGTAGCCAGAGACCGCACAGCACTTCACATCAAATCTACAAAAAGAAGGGGCACCTGGGTGGCTCAGTCGGTAGAGCGTCCGACTTCAGCTCAGGTCGTGATCTCACGGTCTGTGAGTTCGAGCCCCATGTCTGGCTCTGTACCGACAGCTCGGAGCCTGGAGCCTGCTTCGGATTCCGTGTCTCCCTCTCTCTCTGACCCTCCTCCGTTCATGCTTTCTCTCTCTCTGTCTCAAAAATCAATAAACATTAAAAAAAAAGAAGAAGAGGGGTGCCTGGGTGGCGCAGTCGGTTAAGCGGCCGACTTCAGCCAGGTCACGATCTCGCGGTCCGTGAGTTCGAGCCCCGCGTCGGGCTCTGGGCTGATGGCTCGGAGGCTGGAGCCTGTTTCCGATTCTGTGTCTCCCTCTCTCTCTGCCCCTCCCCCGTTCATGCTCTGTCTCTCTCTGTCCCAAAAAATAAATAAACGTTGAAAAAAAAATTAAAAAAAAAAAAAAGGAAGAAAGTAAAGGATGGAAACCAGAAAGCAAAGAGCCATGTCTGTGATTGGAAGAGTCCAAGTAAGGTATCATGATTGAGGATGGGAGGAGGGTGCAACTTGAATTTGTAAAGGTGGAAAAGAAGCGTCTTCATTGGGTGGCTGCACCAGATGTGGGCAGAAGGAGAGTTCAATGTCGCTTACAGAGCGGTCGCCCGGCGGTCGCCTCCCACTCACAGGCCCTGGGTACATGGAACGGGCAAGAGAGATTTGGTAGGGGACCGAGTCTGACAGGCATGTGGCCTCTTTTTCTCTGAAGGCTTGTCCTCACTTGCTTTTAATCCTACAAAGGGCTTCCATGTGGGGTGAGAAGCAGCGTAAACATTCCATCAATGTTGAGTCCTTACCACTTGTAAGGAATGATACCAAAGCAAAAGTCCTTTCACTGGAGCAAATGGCAACTTTATCTAAAACGGGCACTTTAAATAATGTCCTAAAGAATTCAGAAGGAAACAACCAGCCACGGAGAAGGAAGCGCTTCCTGAGCCCACAGTGGGTTGTCTATACCCACTCTTTCATCCACAAGCACTGATATCTCTCCAAACACCTGTCTTCACTAGATAATTCTACTGCCCTTCTCTTTGCGGCTTGTGCAGACACAATCCTTCCTCTCTGGGCAGCGGACAGCACTGCCCAGTACGAGGTTCAAGGACAGACGTCTGCAGGGGCAGTGGGGCTCCTCAGGAATCCCCTTCTGCCTTGGCATTGGCAGTCAGTCTGGGGCTGCCGGCATCTGCCGTGCCTTATCAGTGCAGCTCAGGAGGCAGGATGAAGTGACTTCACCAGGCCTGGAGAAGAATCGCTAATCAGGATGGTTCCGGAACATCTCTTCAGACGCCTAATAATAAATGCTTCTGTGGCGGTGGCCTCGCCCTGATTCTTCCGTAGGGAAGGATGACAAAGTCAAGGCTACCACCCTGGTGGCAGAATTACTGCCCGTGACCCCCGCTACACTCAAGGAATTGGCTTTTACACAGCCTGTTTAAAAAAAGGACACACGACAAACCTCTCAAAGGTCAGTGGAAACGGGCACAATCTGTTTTAAAATCTCAGTTGAGAAAAAAAACACACAGAGTGAAAGAACATACAAGATTAATGATCTCCCCGCAGTGCAGGGAGAAATCAACACCAGCTGGGGGACAGATCTGTCAGAGGCAATGAACGCCATGAGCAAAGGCTGTTGATAAGTTCATTTGGTGCGGAATTTGAAATATGATTTATAGATGCACACAGCGCAGAGAAGAGCGTCACTCTTCGCAGAGTGTAAATACCTCCAGAACACGCAGGGCCCAGCTCCAGAATTCAATTTCTTTCTTTCTTTTTTTTTTTTGACTTCTCATTTTATCCTGACCCTGTTTCGTGGTTGCCATACAACTCGTGGGATATGAAGTAGGAGAATCATTAATATCAGTTGGGTCTTCTGTTAAGGCGTAATAAAGGAAATGTGTTTGCAATACGCATGTTTGTAATAAAATCCTCTCGAAAAGTCAACTTCTTATTTGCAAGGACACTTGCTGATTCAAATATTTTGGAGGTAGAAACACACGATGTCTCACTTCCATGTAGTTCCTTATATCAAACCTGAAGCTGGAGAGAGATTCCATTCCAGTTGTGTTGATACCTTGGCTGGTAACGTCCCCGCTGTGGAAGGTCACCACCTCTACCATGAAAGCATGATGCCCTACAGAGAGAAAATAAATGCAAACTACATTACGTGATACGACTGATTTTAAAATATTTTCCCCAGACATTAGACTGAATGAACTTTGGAACTTAAATCCCCAAATGTAATAAATGAAACGAGGGTTTGAAGCCGTTAAGTCATCTAAATGCAGCCAGCATGCAACTTCCTTCCCCAAACCTTTTGCCAAAGCGTATCTTAGTGCAACCAGTGGCCTTAGATGCCCCCTCTCCCTGCACATCTCCGTGATCCCAAGTGGGTCAAGCGGCAAAAACTTCATTGGCCAAACAGGACAACGGAAGAAAGCAGGAGGACCGTGATTGCCCACAAATTAGGGCAGCCCTGTCAGCCGAGGGCCAGTCAGGGTCCTGGAATCTTTGGATGTTAGAAGTGGATAATCACTTGGAGGTTCGGTACAGGGCAGCAAAATCAAGGCTTCCAGGTCACCCGCCTGGTTCATGGACTGGAATCCAGCGTGGCTAAGTCCTCTCCCAAACAAAACAGAACAGAACAAACACAGACGGTAACTAGGCGGCCTCTAAACCATGCGTTAGCTCCAGCCCCAACTACGTTGCGGCTAGCACAGACAGCAGAAATCCGGAGGAGTCAGGAGGCCTTTCCAGCGATAATCAGCAAAGAATTAAATCTCAAGTTTACGATTTTAGCCCAAAGAGGTTTTCTTTAACGGCAAAAAAGAGGGAACGACTTTGTACTTAATGAATGAGGAGCACCACAGCTTAGGTGTGGATACAAGGGTCAGCTAAAAACGGGTAGCTGGGTGTGTTTGGTGTGGTGTGGTCGTAGTTTGGCTGCGGCTGGGTGTTTTTAACCATGAAATTGGTATCGGAAAATGAGAAAAAGAGGGTCTTTCCAGACCTCTTTCCAGACCAGGAAAAGAGGGTTTCCAGATCCTGGGGAGAAAGTAAAACATTTTAGAGAAGTTTCAGATACTATCTTCCTCTTATAATTGGGGGTACTTGTATGTGTGCATGCATACGCATGGACATGTGTATACATGTGGACATGTGTGGACACGTGGACGTGTGTGGCAATGTGTACACGTAGACATGTGCATGTATGTACATGTGGGTGTGTGCATGCGTGTGCACATGTGTGTGGGCACATGCACATGTATAGGCAGACATGTGCACATGGATACATGTGTATACATGTACACGTGCATGTGTGTGCATGTGTGTACATATGGACGTGTGGACGTGTGTGTATTGTGTACATGTCAACATGTGTGTGTGTATCTGGACGTGTGTGCATGTATGTGGACATGCATATGGATTATGTGTGTGTGTGCT